TGCATGCAGGGGGCATAGGTTTAGTTCTAAGCACTGCGTGGTCCCCTGATCACTGAGCCAAAATTGACCCCAAAGCCAAAAATCAAAACAGCACAAAAGAATAATTAGGAGGGCTGGGGAGATCGTACAACAGGTCAGGTGCTTGCCTTGCCTGTGACCACCTGGGTTGCCTTGTCTGTAATCCCTGGTACCACACTTGGCCCCCCAGACCAATCAGAAGAGATCCCTAAGTGCAGAGACAGGGAAGTAAGCCCTGAGCACTGCTGTCTGGGACACAAAAGCACAACTACCAGAAGAGTTTTCGACCCAACTGAGAAGATTATTGAGGTGACTTTGGAAATGCTCTAAAGATGGGGGCATGGGGGGTGGCACCAGGCACTGGTTACCAGGGAAAACAACAATGACTCTAAGGTTGGAATTCATGCCTGTCCCTTGATATCCAGGAAGAGGAGAGGGCCTGGAGGTTAAATTAGTCACGAATGAGATTACCAGTCATCCTAAGTAATTAAGCCTCAGTAAAGCCCTAGGGGGATCAGAGAGAGTCAGTCATGGGGAGACAGAACAATGACTCCATGTCCCTGAGTGAGCCCCAAATTCCATGAGAACAGACAGTCTGTACAAAGATCTCATGTGGTGTGTCTCTTCCTCTGCGTTCTGGTTCTTATTTGGCATCTCTTATAATAAATTGGTCATTTTATTTATTTATTTATTTCCTGAATTCTGGGTGTCACTCTAGCAAATAACCCAAATCCCAGGAAAGGGTCATGAGAACCTCCTGTTTTAAGCCTGCAATTCAGGAATATAGGGCAATTTGGGGGGTGGATGGTGGGCCATATCCAGTGATGCTCAGGGGTTACTCCTCCCTCAGGAATCATCCCTGGAGGAGCTTGGGAGACCATATGGGATGCCAGGGATCGAACCCAGGTGAGTGACATGCAAGATAAGCATCCTACCTGCTGCACTATTTCTCCAGCCCCAGGAGTATAGGACAGTTGTCAACTGAAGTGGTGGCTGTCCTGTAGAACAGTGTCTCTAAACCTGAGGGATCGAAAACTATCTTCAGCTAGGCTATAGCAGCTGGAGGTGAATTACAGGCTCCCAGATGGTATCAGAGAATTACATGAAAGTGTTAATGCATATCAAGGTCACAGACAATGTCCAATAAAAACAAACCTTTAGTCTGGGACCACAGAACTGATGTTCCCAAAGGGGTGGTTCCAATGGACTGTGATAAAGAAGGAATATTGACACTTTGGTGGTGGGCGTGGTATGACAGCATTGTACCACTAAAACATATGAACATTTATACTCTTGTTAACCAGTGTCACTTCAGTGAAATTAATTTGAAAGAAAAGACAGTTGATAACACACATTGTCTCAATACAAGCATGTTAGAACTGCTTTACATATATTGGATCAAGACCATTTTATGGACAAATGCTAATATTGCCAACATTTTACAGATGAGAAAAACAAGGGTTGGAGAGCCAAATGATCATGTCCAAAGTCACATGGCTGGTAAGCTAATGCAGACACAGGATAGACTGTCTTCTAAAGGTTATCAATGTCTCCCAGTGCTTATCTATAACCCGCCAATGGCCAATCCATGAGGTCTTTTTGACAATGAATTATTGGGAACAGACATCCTTAAAAAATGAATCACTCTGTCATATGGATTATTTTTAACTGAAGTAATAAGACCCATAAAACTCAAGAAAAACTTTCTTCTCCCCCTTAAATGCCTAGAGAATTTAGAACCAACTCAGAAAGAGCTGAGACAAGAGATTTTATCTGAACAACCCATCAGACCAGAAAACTCCTAATTGCCAAACCGTGGCTCTTGTCTTTGGAAACCCCAATCCCTTCATTCCTAAGTTCTGGAGGCAACAAAATTTATTTCACTAATTAGATCTTGAGATCTCAAATTCCTACACACATGACAAATTTGTTTCTTCTGTGCTTCTGTATATGTCAATTATTAAGTCAGCCTAAAGAACCTGGAAGAATGGAAGGGAAGGTCTTTCCCCAGGGCCAGGTCCTTCAGGGCTGAGCCCTCCCAGGGCTGGGTCTCTCCTCTAAGAAGCACCTCGGTCCTCTGCAGACTTGCCTCCCCTGCCCTATAAATGGTTCTGAAACCCCAGTCAAGTCCCTGTCTTGGTTCTTTCTCCCTTTTCTCCATACTTCAACTACAGAACCAAGTTGTTAAAAAAAAAGAACCGCAGACAGAGAAGGCAGCTAGGATAGAGAAGGGATCACTAAGTCAATGATGGTTGGAGGGATAGCTCGGATTGGAAGATGTGTGCTGAAAGTAGATAAAGGACCAAACATGATGGCCTCTCACTGTTTGTATTGTAAACCATAATTCCCATAAGCAGAGAGAGAGAGTGTAAGAGGGAAATTGTCTGCCATAGAGGCAGAAGAAGGGGTGGGACAATGAGTGGGGGGAGGGGTACTGGGGACATTGATGGCAGAAAATGTGCACTGGTGAAGGGATGGGTGTTCGATCACTGTATGACTGAAACTCAAATATGAAAGGTTTGTAACTGTAACTCATGGTGATTGAATGAAGAAGAAGAAGAAGAAGAAGAAGAAGAAGAAGAAGAAGAAGAAGAAGAAGAAGAAGAAGAAGGAGGAGGAGGAGGAGGAGGAGGAGGAGGAGGAGGAGGAGGAGGAGGAGGAGGAGGAGGAGGAGCAGGAGGAGGAGGAGGAGGAGGAGGAGGAGGAGGAGGAGGAGGAGGAGCAGGAGGAGGAGGAGGAGGAGGAGGAGGAGGAGGAGAGAAGGAAGGAAGGAAGGAAGGAAGGGAGGGAGGAAGGGAGGGAGGGAGGGAGGGAGGGAGGGAGGGAGGGAGGGAGGGAGGGAAAGAACCCCAGATACAGAATCAGTAATCGAGATTACAGACCCAGAGCCCTGGATTGACGACCCCTTTCACTCCTGGGGATCCCATCACCCTAAGATGAGAATTGCTGTCACTGGACTACACAACAGCCCTACCTGTGAGCTGTGAACAAGGCCCCCAAGTAGTCAAAGATCCTAGTGTCATCCTGACTTGTGCTCACAGAGCCCTCTACCCTGCCTTTTCTCTGGCCTGAGGTTCTCTCTGGTCTTGCTCAAATCCATCAGCTTCTAAGTCAAGTTCCAGTCCCATAAAGGTAAGCAGTTTCATCCAGGTTGCTGTGAATGGCAAGATTTTGTTCTTTCTCTATGGGCGTGGTGTTGGAATTACATGTATGAGAAACCATTATTAATAGTATTGTAAACCACAAAATCTCAATGAATAAAAAATTCTTTAAAAAGAAGGTAAATAGTAAGGTAGGAGAGGGGTGGCCTTGGCAATAAATTTCAGGAAGCCATAAAGCCAAAAAGCTTAGGAGTTACTCTACCCTGCCACCAGCTAAAACATCAAAAACAACGTCAGCCGGAACAACCCTCACAAGATCTTGAATGAAAAGATACCAAATGTTGAGAGACCCTTTGACTGATCTGCAGTCTCAAATCCCCAAGCCAATGCAGTTTGGAAAAGACCTTTCTGCGACTCTTCCTCAGGCTTCCTTCAGACTTGGGGTGTGTCTATTCCAGGGCTCTCTCCTCTCTCAGAGAATCCTGAATTCTCTCTTGGGTACCATTTTTCTTCTCTCAAATAAAACTGCTTTCCTACTTACCTTCCCCTGAAATTCCTTTCTGTAAGACACTCAAGAGCCAGGTGCAAGTCAGGAGATGAGCTCCTTTCCTTGCACCTCCCCCGGAGAACCACAGCTCCCTGAGAATCTAAAAGGCATGACCAGCTCCTAAACTGTGCAGGTCCAGTGGGAATCAACATTTTACTTGCTGGCTGCATTCAAAGGGCAGGACCTGAGGGTCCCCACTGTGCAGGGATCATGCAAACTTGACCAGCGCTCAGCTACTGCACTCACTTCACAGGTATATCAGTCCATCCAGGCAGGGGTGGAGTGACCCCTTACTGATGCAGTCACCTCCTTCCTCGGCAGCACCACCCTAACCTTGCTCAGACACACTATGGGGGGAGGGGCACCCTACTCTCTGAAAGATAAGAATGGGCCCCTCACACAGCTATCCTGCTCTTCCCATCCAAGAGGAAGGCTTCACCGTACTGTTCTCCCATAACATCCTTCAGATACTCACCAGTCACACCCCCAGCATCTGCCTACCCAGCTGTCATCACCTTTATTGCTCTATCTGCTGAAATCATTGTATCAAGCAAAGGTGAACTCGCATAGCATTGATTCTTATGAATGCTTTTGCATTCTAGAAACTTTTAGAGCACTCTCACCTTTCCAGGACTCAGTGTATCACCCTCCTCCTATCCCCATATATTTGGACAAGGGCTAAGTGGCAACCCCTGCCCTTGGCCTATGTCCTCAGGTCTTTTTTCCACAAAAGAAGGAATTTGGGCTGAAAACTCAGAGCCCTAGACATTACTGCACCACATTTTCCTTATGTGGAGGACAAATTCCTTCCTCAACATCGCACACAGAACACCCACCCCAGAGAGATTGGGCAGAACTCCCAGCTTGGCCTCTTCCCAGGAGGTGGGATGTGGTGGTCTGGTCATGGAATGGGGCTTCCTCTCAGACCTGGCCTTTCTGGGAGGAAGGCAGGAAAGTTCTCCATGCTGTGCCAGCCCACAGAACAGCCGGCCACAGAACAGCCTGAGCTCATTTTGTAATTCACTGTGGGAAGGGCCTGTTGTCAGGTCGCCCTAGAGGACGAGAGCCACTGGAATAGAATAGACCAACCTCATCCCCTCAAGGTCCACCCAGCACAGGCCTATGACTTGGGGGTTACAGAGAGGCAGGCCCATTACCAGCTGGTGAAATTTTCTAACCGGACTCAGCTGTGATCCCTCTTCCTGTCATCACTGCCCCAGCTGTGTCCACCATAACTTGCTCTACTGAAACGCGAAAGCTTAGCCACAAATTAACTCAGAATGGGGACAGACCTCTGGGGAAGACATCCCAGAGGGCTGCTCTGCTGTACTCACACCGAGGAATAGGAATCAGGGTCTATGCTCCTGGTGGGAACGAAGCCCACTTGACCTGAGCGCATTGACCTTCCAAGGAACCACTGAAGCCCGGGGATGACACAGCCGAGGATCTCAATGCTTTCTCCAGTGCACAGGTTGAGTTCATCATTTTCTTCTCTCTCATATTCCTTCCAGGCCTTGCATTTTCCTCTGCCTGTGGGGAAAACAGCAGAGGGCAAAGAATAAGGAGGGAGCATCTGAACCTTCTACCAGTTTCTACCAAAGTAGCAGGATGTGAAGGGGGGTGGGGGTGTCTCAGATGTTAGACATTTAAGTACCAGTAAAATCCCATTTGCGCCCCGCCCTCCCCCTCCCCCCCCCCAAGGAACTAAGAAAATAATAAAGAGAAGAGGGAGAGAGGAAGGGAAAGAAACAAAGAGAAGACAGACAGGCTGTGTGTTCACAAATATGCGTGGGCTCTCTCGCCACGTGTATTTGGTGGCCATGAGTCACTTTCCCACCCCGGCCTGCAGCCGCTACCAACAGAAGGAGGGAGCATGACCACCAAGCTGGTTGGTGATCAGTTGCAGTTTGTTCCAATCTCCATCCCACCATTTATTCTATTCTTCCCATGTGCCTACTCCACTTTCACTGAACACCTCATTCCAGTCTCAGATTAACCCTCATTCCCATCTCCCCTGCTAGTCTCCCTGCACCCAGTCTCACTTTCTCTTCAAGAGCCCAACCTCCAAGGTTGAGTGAGGGTAGCAACTACTCTATAGGTGAGATAGCACAATCAACATATGAAAGACTTTCCTTCTGGGGAAGCTAGGAGATCTAGTTAGGAGATTCACTTGAGGGCAGAATTTCATCTAAGGGCACACTTCTCTTAGTCTATAAACAATGATCTTAGATTTCAAAGTTAGGGGCATAGAGAGGATAGATATTGATCCAGAGATGTAAGGGAAGGGAAGGTAAAGGCCCTCCCGTTGATCGTCGATTTGCTCGAGCGGGCCCAGTAACGTCTCCATTGGAGACTTTGTTGTTACAGTGTCTGGCATATCGAATACTCCCCGTAGCTTGCCGGGCTCTCCGAGAGGGGCGGAGGAATCGAACTCGGGTCGGCCATGTTGGCCGCTAGTAAGGCGAATGCCCTACCCGCTGTGCTATCGCTCCAGCCCCAAAAATTTACTTACAACTTAGGTGTTTTGTCTTCTACTAATCATTCTTTCCATTTATCTTGCCTAATTTAAATAATGGGCTAGAGCCATAGCACAGCAGGTAGGGGATTTGCCTTTCACATGGGTTCGATTCCTTCAATTCCTCCGTCCCTTTCGGAGAGCCCGGCAAGCTACCGAGAGTATCCCGCTTGCATGGCAGAACCTGGCAAGCTCCCCGTGGCCTATTCGATATGTCAAAAACAGTAACAACAAGTCTCACAATGGAGACGTTACTGGTGCCTGCTCAAGCAAATCGATAAACAATGGGAAGACAGTGCTACAGTGCTAATTTAAATAATGACTTTTTAAGTGCCTTGGTTTCCATATTTGCTTCAGCTCTTTAACTATAGCTACCATCTTGAACCAGCAAAAAGGGATGTAGCAGTTCAGTGCCCTGTATTAGTTCTGGTGCAAGTATGGCTCCCTGAGCACAGCATCACCAGGCCGCAACAGCACTGCATGGCTAGGGCTTAGCACCAAAACCTCAGATCCAGCACAGCTAAGCCAAGAATCACCAGGAAGGACTCTCAGTTCCCACACATAGCTGTGGAAATGCAAAATTGAATAAGATAGATATATAAGTATTAAAAAGAGCTACCATTTTATATACTTTTTGACATTGTGATCAAATTCCTATTGATTGTGTCTTCAAGATGAGAAATTCCCACTGTATTGTGTGAATTTGTCTTCCCACTTTCTTATGCTGACAAGTATAAGAAAACACTAAGAATACCCTTAGGGTTATTCTCATGAGGACATTTGGAGTTGGGCTATGGTAAGAATTTAACAGGAAGAAGGTCACATAGTCAGGACATGTGAATTGGTGAGGTTCACACTGGCTTTAAGTGTGAAGCCAGGAATTGTAACTGGAGCTCACTTCTCAGCTCCGTGTTCCTAAAACTTGATCTTCTGGTTATGTGAAGTTTGGCATGGGTTTGGGGGGCTGGGGGGGACAGTAGAGAGACTCTGGGATAAAGGTTAAAGGCATATACATATTCTAGATATCTTAAAGGTATTAAAGGTCATTCTCCAATGAATACATATATACTTACAGATGCATGCATATGTACCTAAAATATATGCATGTATTTATGCATGGGGGTACTTTATTCAAAAATTCAACAGATATTTACTGAGTTCCCACTGTGCACTAAGCATTCTAACTCTTCCTAACTTCAAGATTAATTTTACAATTCTCTAAGGGATGTTAGAAAACAGTTTGACCAGAGATTAAAAGTAGTCAGGCTGAGGGCCACATGTGAAACCTCACCTGACTTTTCACCCCTATATCTTTATACCCTTCTGAGCCTTCCCACTCCTTCCATCTTGGCACTCACATCCAACAGATTGAATTAAGGCTCTCATTAGAAGCAAGGAAACTGGTGTGTGCAAAGAGTAACTGTCTACGGAATCCAGTGAGCAGTAGAAGCAAAATAGGAATTCACATCAATGAGCTCCTAAGCTGTAGGTAAAGTTAGGAGACAGAACAATGTCTCCCTAACAATTCCGTTTTCCACTCAATCATACCGATCTGGTAGGAGCCTGTCCAATCACTCTTCCTGCAAAGACCACAGCTTCCAGGATAATTCTTTAGGAACCACCTGTCAATGGAAACACATGGTTTGTAAACATAGGTTTTTGCATGTATCAGAACAGCAAGTGCAGTCAGCTATTAGAGCTGCTGGAAATTACGGCATTATTAGTACTCCTCGGTGTTAGCAGATATTACTGAAAATAAACTTCATACTGAGCACTGTGAAGAGGAAGGATGGGCAGCAGTCTGGTTTTCTGTTGCCCCATGAGTTTCCAGTTAAATAAGTAACTGTCTTCCCTGGGGCACACAGGGTCTCTGAGGGCAAACAAGCTGCCATTCTGCAGTTGAGCTTACCTTCTCCTCCAAATGTTAGAGTGAAAAACCTCTTATGCTTAAGAGACATTTTTATAAAATTTCAATTCTTGGAGAACCCCAATACTTTCTATGGGGATGAAAGACAGCAGGGCTCTCTGGAGTTATCATAAAATCCCCAGATGATTCTAACACGGTTTCAACTGAAATAGATTCCAGGCCCTACATAAGAACAGTGCAGTAGATTTCTCTCGAGCTACAACAGCCTTCTGAAATTTCGCATTGTCCCAATCTTCATCAAGTCATTCAAACCTCAACTATTAAGAAAACACACAGGATAAGAAGCCACCCACAACTGGTTGCCTCCCTGTCACTATGGGTACCAACATCCGCAAACCTGCTGGATCTTTTTCTGCAAATTTCTGGTGAGCTTCAAGCTCCTCTCCCAGGAAGCAGAGCTACTCACTGGTGGAAAGGGAGCAGCAAGGGTTCCAGAGCCGACATGGGCACCACGCCCCGCTGGCCTGACACCAAGGACACTCCTTCCCACTCAGACCCGCCTTCAGGTATCTTCACCGAGATTAATTCATTCTTGCCAAGTGTCAAGTACTCTCCTTCCTTCTCGGCTGGCTGAGTCACAGAATACAAGGCTCTGCAGAAGAAGTGGCCTGTAGACAGTGAGAAAAGCACTTTCCAAGGAGTCTGCAGGAGGCGAAAGGGGACCTTTATGCAATGCCAGGTCTCTAACCAGAGCCCAAGCACCCCTCTTGTTGGGAGTGAAGACCGGACAGATGGGAAGTGGGCTCAGGAGGACCTCAGGAGGCCCCTGGGATTCTGGGAAAACTGATAACTAACCAATTATTTTTCTCCTGAAAAAAAGGAGAAATTCACTTACTCTCTGCTACAACTAGAGTACATAAATATAAATTTTATATATTAATTAATATATTAATATATTAATACTATACTAGTTATATTATATAATCATATATTAATTAGTTGTGTTAATATATAAGTAAAATAAGCATAAACAACTCTGAGTAATTCCTGAGAATATGGTTTGATTGGAACTTCATCTTGGAAACAAAAACTTAAGAAACTGTATATATGCAACTTTTTTTGCAACTGTATACATGCAACTTCATGTATACAGTTGCAAAAAAAGAAGCAGCAAGGATACAAAGTACATTGAGTCAAGTAAGAATAATTTCTCTAACTGAATCTTATAATATTTCATTACAAAAGTCTTTGCTTCGAAAAGAATCGTGGGGCACAATTACAAAAATTTGGAACAAAGTAGAAAGAGCATGGGGTAAATTGTCTGCCCTTGAGACAGGGTGAGGGATAGGATGGGGGGGCGATACTGGGGATACTGTGGTGGAAAGTGTGCAATGGTGGAGGGGTGGGGGTTTGATCATTGTATGACTGAAACTCAATCACAAAAGCTTTGTAACTATCTCATGGCATTTCAATTCATTCATCATTCATCATTCATCATCCTGTTATTCGTCGATTGCCTCTAGCAGGCCCCAGTAACGTCTCTTTCATCCTAGCCCTGAGATTATATTCAAGGCTCTTTAGGAGAATGAGACCCATCATTGTTACTGGTATTTGGCATATTGGGTACGCCACGGGGAGTTTGCCAGACTCTGCCCTGTGGGCAGGCTACATTCGATAGCCTGCAAGTTTGTCCAAAGTAGGAATGAGATAATAAGATGTCATAAAAAGATGTCCTGATAAGACGGCATTTCAATAATAAATAAATAAATAAATAAATAATAAAAATTTGGAGCACTATCCCGTGAAAATTCACCTCTTTCAACTGTGGTATCAGTTGTTGACAGTTATGGACTTAGTAGATTTTCCCAGTAAATACACTGCTGGACTGTCAGTAATTTCTCAACATAACTTTGCTTTCACTAGTGAATTCTATCAGGTGTAGCAAGATTTGTAATTTTATATTATGGTCAAATCAGGTCATATTTAGATCAAAAGACTCTTCCTTGGTGAGTGTATTAGAATGATCTGGTTGAGCTTTAAGTGATACCAAAGCTTTTAGAGATTTCACTGCATGGGCAAGGCCCTAGTATGGGCATCTGGGAAACCTCCTGAGGTAGTTTCCTCTCAATCAGTTAGGTTAGTTAACACAGCTGTTGGTGTCATGCCAGTGACCAAGAGAGAGGGCCCTTGGAGTACTGCTATAACAGACAGATTCATTTGTGAATGTTTTCATGTTTGAAAATTTTTGCCTCCCTTTGTGTACTGATTATGTTTGGAACTCTGATATTAAGTAGACAGAACCCATCCCACCTCTATTCCACACTCACCTTCCTGTGTCAGGAGTCCCAGGTACATACTTTCCAGGTGTTTATCATCTACCAACACTTGGACCTCTGTATCCTCCACCAATCTGAAGTTCAACCAGTACTTAGGGTCAAAGAGGAGATGCTCCAAACAAGTGGACACAAAGCCTGTAAGTCAAGCCAAGATGATTGCCCACCAGCATGATTACTGTCACTCTTTGAGCACAGAAGATGATAAGCAAACTCTGTCTTGCAGTCCCCTCTCAGACTTCCACCCCAAACCAATCCCATCTGACCAGCCTTAAAAAGCATAAAACAGACAGCCATGTTGACTTAATCACCAATCCTGCTCTACGAGTCCTGACTAAATCTCTGAGGAGCTGCAGATAAAATTTATGGGAATACTAGTCCCCATGATTGAAAACTCCAGAACACCCCAGAGACAGGCAGGCGATCTGAGTACTTGCCCTGCCCAAGCCCCAGCAGCAACATCCACACCCCATGGCTGTAGCCATGCCAAGGGCTCAACTCCACCACTTTGCAATTATTCTCTGCAGAGATGCCAAATAGCATAGATCCTGAAGTCTCTGGACCAAACGGCCACACCTAATTCCTCAGTACGGAAATTCCAGTAGGAACACACCAAATTAGATGGAAAAATAACACAGAAGTCAAATAAATTCAATAAACAAAAACAATAACACAGAAGAGTCAAGTAGGAACAAATAGCCTAATAAATTGTTAGACAAGGACTTAACAACCCAGTGATCAGATATAATAATGTTTACATTAAAAAATTACTTTAAAAATAGTTCATTGGGGCTGGAGAGATAGCACAGAGGATAGGGCGTTTGCCTTGCACGTGGCCGACCCGGGTTCGAGTCCCAGCATCCCATATGGTCCCCTGAGCACCGTTAGAAGTAACTTCTTAGTGCAGAGCCAGGAGTAACCCCTGTACATCGCCAGGTGTGACCCAAAAAGCAAAAAAAAAGAATAGTTCATTGATTTTAATATTGATGCTTTGCTATCTAATCAACTTCAATTCTAGAATTGTATTAACAGTTTTAGCTTCTACATTAAAATTAATTTTAAAATAATTAAATACTCAGGCCAAATAAATAAAAAGAATTAAAAATATAAAAGAGTTAGCACACACATTTTTAGAATAAACCAATTTCTCTCCGCACTGAAATACAGTCAGGAATTTGTATCCAAATACAAATTGGAGGGGGTATGGTGCCGCCAGCAGGTCAATCTGTACCTGTGAGGTGAGTGCATCAGCAGCCTGATGGCACTGTCAGACTTTCAGATACCCCAAATTTGCTGCTGTGCCTTTGGCCAGACCCCAAAAACTTGGAGCAAAGTTTACCAAGCAAGTAACTTTGTTAGGTATGTGGGAGACACACCCACAAACCACCTCCAGCTCAGCTATATAATTGGAGGCATGGCCTCTCTGGTTCCTGATCGAACTGCTTAATGGCCATGAGCCCAGAGACTCAGAAATGAATCTCGGAACCCAAAGGCTTTTGGCAGAAATGCATCCTGTTCCTGCAGTATGTTACTGGTGCTGGGCCACTACAGGTGGGAATAGGTTTTGTGCCTTGGCCTGTTCCCCTTGGCAGCCCAGTGACCACCATCCTCCAGAGGACACTGGACAGTCAGGTTTGGGCCTCCAGTAATGAGACATGTGGGGCCTAACCAGATGGGGGTGGAAACGGCCCTTTCCTCCCCATCCCAGCGAGACCCCGAGTTGCTGCCTACAAATGGCCTTTCTGGCTCCTGATCAAGCTGCTTAATGGCCATGATCCCAGAGACTCAGAAACAAATCTTGAAACCCAGCAGCTTTTGGCAGAAATGCATCTGGACTGCATACAAGGTGGCCGCCGCCTCAGAGCTTATTGGAAAGCCAGGTATGAGCCAGCGGTGACGAGGCAACTGCAGTCTCATGGGAAGGGGGGTGGTACCAGCTCGTCCTTCACGCCCTACCGAGGTCATGAATTGCCCCCCACAAGCGGCTTTCTGGCACGGCCATGGCTCCAGAGGCAAAAGGATTTAATCCAGAGCTCGGCTGCTTGCAGCAGAAAAGTGAATGGACCATGCGTTAAACTACGGCACCATGCTGATCTGGGTTCAATTCCCAGCATCCCATATGGTTCCCTGAGCACTGCCAGGAATGATTCCTGAGTGCGGAGCCAAGAGTAACCCCTGAACAATACCAAGTGTGGCCTCAAAAAAAAAAAATAAGGGGGTCTGGAGCCGCCAGCAGGTCAATCTGCCCCTGTGAGGCAAGTGCATCAGCAGTCTGATGGCGACTTCAGACTTCCAGATACCCCAAACTAGCTGCTGTGCCTTTGGCCCGACCCCAGAAACTTGGGGCAAAGTTTACCAAGAAAGTAAACGGCCAAAAATTAAGTATGTGGGAGACACATATGTGGGAGACACACCCAAAAACCACCTTCGGCTCAGCTATATAATTGGAAGCATGGCCTCTCTGGTTCCTGATCGAAGTGCTTAACGGCCATGATCCTAGAGACTCAGAAACAAATCTCGAAACCCAATAGCTTTGGGCAGAAATGCGTCCAGTCCCTACAGTAGGTTACAGGCGCTGGGCCACCCCAGGTGGGAATAGGTTTCGTGCCTTGGCCTGTTCCCCCTGGCAGCCCGGTGGCTACCATCCTTCAGAGGTCATTGGACAGTCAGGTTTGGGCCCACAGTGACGAGACAAGTGGGGCCTCACAGGATGTGGGTGGAGCCAGCCCTTTCCTCCCCATCCCAATGAGACCCCGAGTCGCTGCCCACGAATGGCCTCTCTGGCTCCTGATCAAGCTACTTAACGGCCATGATCCCAGAGACTCAGAAACAAATCTCGAAACCCAGAGGCTTTTGCAGAAATGCATCTGGACCCCGCAGTAGGTTACTGTCGCCGGACCACCCCAGGGTGGAAAGGGTGCTGTCCCTCCGCCTGCTCCCCCTTGACGGCTCAGTGGCCGCCATCCTCCAGAGGCCATTAGACAGTCAGATTTGGGCACAGATTTGGACAGTGACGAGACACACAGGGCTTCACAGGATGTGGGTGGAGCCGACCCTTCCCAACGAGACCCCGAATCACCGCCCACAAACAGCCTTTCTGGCTCCTGATCAAGCTGCTTAATGACCATGATCCAAGAAACTCAGGAACAAATCTCAGAACCCAGCAGTTTTGGGCAGAAATCCCTCCAGATTTAATTGTTAAAATTTCAGAATTTCAAAATCACGTGGCCACTGCTGCAGCAGTGTCATCATATGTTATTCAAAACCAGCAATAGAAAACAAACTGCCTACTGCTGCCTTTTCAGCAGATCTGAGTGTTTGGATAAACTCCCAAATAATAATGGTGGGTCTGGTGTCAAAATATTGAATGTAATCAAAGCAGAGAGAGAGTAATGTGGAAATCATCTGCCCCACAGGTAGGGGGAGGTGTGGGATGTGGGTATACTGGGGTTTTGGGGGGTGGAGAATGGGCACTGGTGAAGGTACAGGTTTTTCGTTGTATTACCAATACTTAAACCCAAAAGCGTTGTAACTGCTCTCACGGTGATTCAATAAATAAAATTATAAAAAAATGAAAAAAAAAGTAAGGTGGAGTTCATGCCCAATTCAATCAGCTAATCAGTAGCTGAAAAAAACAACAGTACTCCTACATAAATAAATAAATAAATAAATAAACAAACAAACAACTGAAATCCATGAAAACTGCACACAGCTAACCTGGGTTCAATTCCCAGCATCCCATATGGTTCCCTGAGGACTACCAGGAGTGATTCCTGAGTTCAGAGCTAGGGGTAACCCCTGAATACTGCCAAGTGTGGCCCCAAAACAAAAATAAACTGTAAGCCATGAAAATTGTAAAATTCTAACCATAATATAAATGTGAGTATAAATGTTAATTACATTAAAAGATTTCTTCTTTCAAGACTTCTCTTTCTTGGAATGCAAAAGCCCATTTCTTTGTATTTCTGACCCTCTAGTGTACTGACTTAGACCTGTGTGAGTTTTGAGTTTTGGGTGCGTGTGTGTGTGTGTGTGTGTGCGTGTGTGTATGTGTGTGTGTGTGTATAAGTAGGCATGTGTATGTTCTGGGTTTGAGCCACACTCTATAGTACCAAGGATTTATTCCTGGCTCTGCACTTAGGGATCACTCCTCACAGGACTCAGGAGATCATATGGGGTGCCAGGGATTGAACGCAGGTTGGCCACATGCAAGGCAAATACCCAGCCTGATGTGCTACTGCTCCGGTCAGGACTGCCTGTTTTCTATGGCTGCATATTTTAAAAGGAAACAGCTTCATTGTGTTTGATGATAGAGGCTGGGATTTTATTTCTACTGCCCCCACCTGGCTTTCTCTCTTTTATTTTTGCCTCACATCCAGAAGTACTCAGAGGCTCTTTCCTACAATTGCTTGAGGGTCACTCCACTTAGTGCTCAGGAGACCATCAGGAGACCATCAAGCTGGGGAATTACACTGGGTCCCCCACATGCAACTATGCACTCAGTCCTTTGATTTATATCCCCAGACACTGGGATTTCATTTTTCTAACAAGTCCTCCTAATGCCACCTTGCAGGCCCAGAAAGCACAGCCATAACTAGTTTGATCTGTAAAAGGGATATGTAGCCTGGAAAAATACAAGACAGGAAGTTATGCCCTCTGAGCTTGAACCATATAGACCCGCCCCTGCACAAGGTCACTTCCTGTGTATGTCTGTGTGGCGCCCAGCACTTCTGGGAGAGGTCAAATAGGAGCCAATTCAAGGCGCCTCTCCTTTGCCTGTTGGTTTTGTAACCATAAATTCTTGTTGTTTTCTATCATATGATCTCTATGAATCATGAGTTATTCTCTGTGGAGAAGGTTCCCACCCAGAAGGACTGATGCTAAACTCCAATGCCTTTGTTTATCTTCTAGAAAAAAAACATATAACTTTAGATCACTTTAGCAGATAATTCTCTCATCTCTTTCTTTAACTCTTTTCCAAAAACTTGGGTGGGTAAAATATCCATCACTTGGTTATTCTGGGCAGCTACTCAATACTCTTTTCTTTTTAATTTTTTTTCAAACCATCAAAACCACTTCTGTTTTAGTGTTTTTACTTATTAGATGATCAATAACTGTCAATTGATTGATTATTTGATAAGTAAGTCCCTCCCTGAAAACAATGACATGTTGCCTATGACATTTGAGAGTCATCATTAATTTTTGTTTTAAAGTTACTTCCAAAAGTCTGGTATTTCAAAAAATAACCATCATTGTTAGGAGTCAGCTTTTTTTAGTTATCAGAGCCAGACTGATTCATTCCTTAATGTAAAACTTTACTGATTGTCTAAACTCTGTCATAGGCACCTATCTGCTCCAAGTTATACCTAAGTTCAGATAGGTAGAGAACTTCCAGATTTCCTCCACAGTCTTGAAGGTGATGAGGAACTGAGCGTTTTGGGACTGGATGCTCACCAATCTTGCTGAGAGGTCCTGAAAAAGAAAAACAAGTCAACATGGGATATCGGGCATGTTCTGTTATCAAGCTCACATACGTACAGGATGCTTTGCATGGACTTCATATCTGCAGCCTTCATTTCTGCATCACCCTCTACCCCCCAAAAGGAAATAACAATAAAGTTCATTCATAGAAAACTGATTACATGGTTAAAGATTGTGACTGATCTCTGGTGACTCTGCATACACCGAGCAATCAGTGTCCAGCCACAGCACAATCGATTGCGTGTGAGTGCCGTCACTGAAGTCTGTGACTCCTGGCAAGCACCACTGCTAAAACTAAGTGTGAACATTCTTGTCAGGAGTGCTTCCCTTGGGAAGCATGTGTATGAGCTCTGTCTGGAGCACACTACAGCTGGAGGACGTGACCTCAGCAAGCACCACAGCCCAAGGTTGCGGACATTGTAACCTCCACTCTAGCACCAGTGCCAGGTATGTGTGTGACCTCTGGGTACACAGCATCATAAACAGAGGGAAGGAGGAAAACTCTTTTAAAAATTAAAATGGGCTCTTTCCACTCTAAAGAAGCCTATGTTCTCTTGTGAACACACATATTCCTCTCTCTATATCCTCACATCTTCCTAAGTAAATCTCTTTCCATAAAAACTGTTTTGTTTCACTGGAAAACTTAGACTATATTTTCTCTATATAGAAGAGAACATTATGATATCGTGCACCATTAAAAAAAATGAAGAAGCTCTTGGTTACTGATAAATTCCAAATATATACGAAAAAATGGATCAGGAGCCCCAACAAAAAGAAACCAGAGTGTAGAACTCAACGCAGAAAATTCTCCCTTTTGTGATTTAAAAAATAATGGGGGATCAGAGCAATAGTAAAATGGGTAGGGCATTTGCCTTGCATGGGGCTGACCAAGGTTTGATCCCCTGCATCCTATGTGTTTCCCTGAGCAACGTCAGGATTAATTCCAGGAGTAACCCCTGAGCATTTCCAGGTGTGATCAAAAATCCAAAAATATTAATTAAATAAATCACCGTATCACTGTATCACTGTCATCCCATTGTTCGTCAATTTACTCAGGCAGGTCCAGTAACGTGTCTATTCCTCCCAGCCCTGAGATTTTAGCAGCCTCTTCTTGCTCATCTTTTCCCAACAACTGGAGGCTCTTTCAGGGTCAGGGGAATGAGACCTGTTGTCATTACTGGTTTTGGCATATCAAATATGCCACAGGGAGCTTTCCAGGCTCTGCCCATGCAGGTAGGATACTCTTGGTAACTTGCCAGGCTCTCCAAGAGACATGTATTTATATATTTCTCTCTATGATTTGTTGCCTACTGTCTGAACCCCATCAAATATGGTGTGGAAATTATGGGAAATGTCCCTAAAGCGTCCTGGAGCATGGCAGTGGTTGCGTAGTGGAGGCTGCTGAGGTTGGGTTCCTTGGGGCAGGGAGGGCTCTCACTTTCTCCATTCTGGGGAGCCCCGAGTGAAAACAGCCTGGAGCTGAGTCCGGATTGATTATAAATTTATTTATAATTAAATAAATAAATACATAAAATGGATAATTGGGCATACTGATTGTTATTGTTAGAGTTATGTGCTTGAGAAACCATCATTAAAACTGTTGTTTATCTTTTTCATGTGCATTTTGGCCATTTGTATTTCTTTTTTGAGAAACTTCTGTTATTTCTTCTCCCCATTTTTGATGGGGTTGGAGGTTTTTTTCTTTTACAATTCTACTAGTGTCTTGTATATCCTGGATATTAATCCCTTATCAGTTGGGTATTGGGTAAATATTCTTTCCCATTCTGTGGGCTCTTTCTGTGTTTTGGTCACTATTTCTTTTGAAGTGCAGATGCTTCTTAGTATGATGTAGTTTCATTTGTTTATGTTTGCTTCTGCTTGCATGCTCAGTGCTATTTCATCCTCCAAGATGTATTTAGCTTCAATGTCGTGAAGAGTTCTGCCTACATTTTCCTCTATGTACCTTATGGATTCATGTCTGATATTGAGGTCTTTAATCCACTTTGATCTGACTATTGTGCCTGGCATTAGACAGAGGTCAGAGTTCAATTTTTTGCAGGTAGCTATCCAGTTTTCCCAGCACCACTTGTTGAAGAGGCTTCCCTTGTTCCACTTCACATTTCTTGCTCCTTTGTCAAAGATTAAGTGATCATATATTTGGGGGTCTGTGACAGAATATTCAACTCTGTTCCATTGATCTGCAGGTCTGTTTCTAGCCCAGTACCATGTTGTCTTAATTACTACTTCTTTGTAGTACAGTTTGAAGTTGGGGAGGGTGATGCCACCCATCTTCTTTTTCCCAAGGATTGTTTTAGCTATTCGTGGGGGTTTATTGTTCCATATGAATTTCAGGAGTGTTTTGTCTATTTCTTTGAAAAATGTCATGGGGATACTCATAGGGACCTCACTGAATTTGTATAGTGCTTTGGGCAGTATTGCCATTTTGATAATGTTAATCCTCCCTATCCATGAGCAGGGGGTGTGTTTCCATTTCCTAGTGTCCTCTTTTATTTCTTGAAGTAGTGTTTTGTAATTTTCCTTGTACACGTCCTTCACCAGGGCTGGAGCGATAGCACAGCGGTAGGGCATTTGCCTAGCGTGCAGCCAGCCCAGCCAAGCCAGGTTCAATTCCTCTGCCCCTCTCAGAGAGCCTGGAAAGCTACCGAGAGTATTTCACCCGCACGGCAAAGCCTGGCAAGCTACCCATGATATATTCGATATGCCAATCACAGTAACAAGAAGTCTCACGGTGGAGACGTTACTGGGCCCACTCGAGCAAAATCAATGAACAACAGGAGGACAGGTCCTTCACCTCTTTGGTTAAGCTGATTCCAAGGTACTTGATTTTCTGATTTTCTGAGGTACTACTGTGAACGGGATTTTTTTTTAATGTCTCTTTCTTCTCTTTTGTTATTTGTATATAAGAAAGCCATGAACCTTTGGCTGTTGATTTTGTAGCCTGCCACTTTACTAAACTGACCTATTGTTTCTAGGAGCTTTTCTATATTGTCTGCAAATAGCAATAGTTTGACCTCTTCCTTTCCTATCTGTATTACCTTGATACCGTTCTCTTTCCTAACTGCAATGGCCAGGACTTCCAGTACTTTCTTTATTGAATAAGAGTGGCAAATGCTCCACATCGCTAGCCATCAGGGAGATGCAAATAAAAACAACAATGAGATGTCATCTCACACCACAGAGACTGGCACACATTCAAAAGAACAAAAGCAACCAGTGCTGGTGTCAATGTGGGGGAAAAGGGACATTCTTTCACTGTTGGTGGGAATGCCCACTAATCCAGCCTTTCTGGGAAAATGCTGCCTTAATTACTACTAAAATGGACAGTCCTTCAAAAACTAGAAATTGAGCTTCCATCTGACCATGAAATACCACTTCTGGGAATATATCCTGAGGATGCAAAAAAGCACAGTAGAAATGACATCTTAATTAATGTCTTAATTAATGACTATATGTTCATTGCACTGTTAACAATAGCCAAAATCTGGAAACAACCCAAGTGCCCTAGAACAGATGACTGGTTAAAGAAACTTTGGTGCATCTACACAATGGAATACTATGCAACTGTCAGGAGAGATGAAGTCATGAACTTCGCTTATAAATGGATAGACATGGAAAGTATCATGCTAAGTGAAATGAGTCAGAAAGAGAGGGACAGAAATAGAAGGACTGCACTCATTTGTGGAGTATGAAACAACATAACATGAGGCTGACACCTAAGGATAGTAGATACATGGGACAGAAAGATTGTTCCATAACTGGAAGCCTGCCTCACGAGCAAAGAGGAGAAGGCAGCTGGAATATAGAAGGGATCACTAAGAAAAAGATGCCTGGAGGAATTGGTCGGAATGGGAGATGTGTGCAGAAAGTAGATAAAGGACCAAACATGATGACCTCTCAGGGTCTGTACTGCAAATCATAATGCCCAAAAGTAGAGAGAGATTATGGGGAATCATTTCTGTCATGGAGGCAGGGGGAGGGTGGGAAAGGCAGGGTATACCAGGGATATTGGTGATGGGGAGTGTGCATTGGTGGAGAGATCAATGTTTGATCATTGTGTGATTGTAACCTAAACATGAAAGCTTGTAACTATCTCACGATGATTCAATAAAATTTAGAAAAAAAAAAGAATGGAGACAACTGAAGCCCCCCAAAAAAAGTGTTGTATATCACAGAATTTTAATCAATTAAAATAAATGAAGTATGAGGCTAAAGAATGAATCATAGTAGCTACTTTGGAGGTTAATTTGATTATGAATCTACATCTAATGATATATTTTTATAACTTTGGCAACAGAGTAAACAAAGCAAACAAAAATAAAATTTATCCACAATTCTTCCTCCGGACATCACCAATGTTGACACGAAGGTCAACATTCCTGTGTTCACTTTGGATATTCTTCCCTGGGCCTAAGTTTCTCTGTAATTATTTTACATAAGTAAAATCACATTACACAGGGTGGTTAATAATCTTCTTTTGTCACTAAATAACATTTTATCACCCATATTATAAAATTATATAAAAGGGCTGGAGCGATAGCGCAGCGGGTAGGGCATCTGCCTTGCACGCAGCCAACATGGCCAACCCGAGTTCGATTCCTCCGCCCCTCTCGGAGAGCCCGGCAAGCTACCGAGTGTATTCGATATGCCAGACACAGTAACAACAAAGTCTCCAATGGAGACGTTACTGGGCCCGCTCGAGCAAATCAATGATCAACGGGAGGGCCATTATAAAATTAACTGATCACACCAATGTCATTTAATAAGGTAAACTATTTCTAATCGTTACATTTCTTTGTTGCAGTAATTCAATTATTTCTTAACTTTTCCTTATATTTAGACATTTGACTTATTTTAATTCTTTGCAACCTTATTGGAAGATAATTGGCATACTTTTCTGTTTAAGATTATAGCATGAAATATAATAACTTTACTTACACAATGATGAGATTATTGCTATAATATGCTTATCCTCTCATATAGATACAAAATAACAAAAATTAAAACAAAATATTCTACTTGTGGATGAGAAGACTTAGGATTTACTCTATTTGTTTGTTTATTTGTTTTGGGACCACACCCTGTGCTGTTCAGGGCTTACTCCTGGCTCTGCACTCAGCAATCACTGCTGGAGGGCTCAGAGGACCATATGGGATATCAAGGATTGAACTCAAGTTGGTCGCAATGCAAGGCAACAGCCTCACCTGTTGTACTACCTCTCCAGCCCCAAAATTTACTCTATTAATGACTCTTCTATTCAATAGTTCCTTCAGTCCCTCTTTCTTACCTATAGTTTCTTTTTCTGAGGTTTCAGTTACCATTACTCAACTATAGTCTGAAATTTTATATACAGTATAGAGTGGAAAAAAGATAATTATAGAAAATTGCTCTATTATTGTATTTTTGTTAATGTCATTAATTTCTTATCGTGCTTAGCTTACAAACCAAACTTTAACGGTACATTTAGGAAAACTGTGCATTCAGGATTTGGTACATAGAGGATTTAAGCACAGCCATAGGAGGGTTGGATGTCTTGTTAGGTGTTCCCTGTGGGCTACTTCTTTACTCCTTATTCATCTGCCTTATTCCATTTTCTCCCACCACAAAATTAACTCAAGTCATTACATAAACATTCTAAAGAGTATTGTGAGAAACATCCTTTAACTAAATCTGAGTGCACACCCTTGATCATTTTAACACAAATAATTCCAGTAAGTGCAATTGTGAGTACATTTTCACAACTCACATGCAGGAGTTACACAGCCCTCCAGAAAGGCTGACGGTGTGCAAGCTCGCCAGAGCTGAAGGGGGATGGTAAGCACTCTCCCTGCTAAATACCTGACAAAATGGACCTGAATCACTACCCAAACCTGGTTTTCCCCTAGACCCTTTTTGCTCATCCACTTTGGAGTTGAGTGAAATGAGTAATAATCAGAAAGCCCCTCACTTTCCAGGCCAAGCTCTGAACCTCAAGAAGAACTCCCCAGGTCAGTCAGCCAAATTCGAAACTGAGTTTCTGCCATATGAAGCCCCAGAAGACCCTTTGGAGCTCTAGATCCTGATAAACAAATAAGGATTTCATATGAAAAATCTATTCACAAATCAGGTACTTCACCAAGCCTTTATGGGTAATGTTTTCTAAACTCTCAAAATAGCCTAGGAAGATGAGTGGGGGTCCCTCTGCTCAATTCATTCCAAAACACCTGAGACTATTCTAAAACACAGGTTGAAGAGTCAAGCCATTGTCATAACAAAATGGTAGCATTTCTTTTTCCTTACTGGGATATAATAGTGGATATCATATCAATAATATCTCAGAGTTAAGAGATAACAGCATTGTGTATGCCATTTTTTAAGAGGCTGGAACACACACAGGTTAAGTAATTTGCCTAAGGTTGCAGTTCCTGAGAACTAACCTCAGCACCCCCGCCACTCCCAGTGACTTACGGGCCTCCTGCAGGCTCCCAGCTTGCCGAGCTTCAGCACAGCCCCTATTCATGCTAAAGTGACTCCAATTAACGACACTCTATGATGTTGATTATGATGTCTATTACAACTTAAGCCTCCACGTCCCTGAATTCCAGACTGCAGAACAAAATGTCAAACATTCTTCATCTACTCTTTCTGGAGTCCAGTCCATTTCCCAGTATGATACTCTCTCCAGATACCGCAACATTTACTTACTGGAGAAAAACCAGACACTTTTTGTTACATGACATATTTGTAGACCACATTTCTCTTTTCATGCTTATTTCCCCTCTTCCCTCTTCTCTTGCTTTGGTTGTGATAACCAGTATTTACTTACAGTGTTTACAGAGATATTATGATTTTGTTGTGACACCCGGGTGGTACCCCTCGGAGAGGGGTGATTTCATTTCAGTTTGGAATCATGGAAAGGTTCTAGGGTAGATAAAGGTAATGATTGAACACCAATGTGAATGTACTTAATGCCACTGAATTTCACACTTTGAAACTAAAATTTGTATGCTACTTATATTTTTTCTCACAATTAAAAAAAGAAGGTTCAAATGTATTGCACTATGCGTGTACATGCAGATGTGTGTGTGTTTGTTTGTAGGCATAGGAAGATTCAGATGTATCATATAGTGTGTATGCATGCATGTGTGCATGTGTGCATGTGTGTTTGTGTGTGGGCGCAGGAATCAAAGGCCAGCAGAGCTACCAGAACTGCCAGATTTATAACGAGTGCATATGAGACACTGGGGTTTTAAACTCATGAACATACACTTGCAAGTGGTAAAGCGATTCTTAAACCACTCAGCTATTCTTCCAGTTCCTAAAAAGTGTCATAATGAAATGGGCATTTCAAATGATTACAACCTGACCAAAATTAAATCAAATTAATTTGGCAGATTTTAAAGGCAAATTTTCTGACTTTACATCTAACTCCAGGGATTTCCCCATCCCAAGTTCCCGACTGTTCCTGATGAACAGACAATGTGTATAGGTTTTCTTTATTCAGTCTAACAGTTCATGTGTTTTTTTGAGGATCTACTATGTTCTCGATGCTGTCCTAGGTGCTGGCAAGCCTGAGCTCACCAACACAAGAACAAGACTTCCTCAGAGTGTGCTTAGCTCTGCCCATGCTCACCTTAAACAGTGCACGCACCTCCTGGTCCTCATTCTCCAGCGCCCAGAGTCGCTTCCTGGCCGCTTCCTGCAAAGGTCCATTCACACACCTCCTGGAGCGGCTCTTCACACTGAAGGAGACTGTCAGGTCTTTAAGAAAACAGAGAAAGAGAGTCTGGGATGATTAGATAAGGGCCCATTCCTAAGCACTAAACTGAAATCCTCACGTATTAGAAGTTATAGGTGGCCTTGAGAATCCTCTGAATGACTCCTGTATGTAAACTGTCCTCTCAGGAACAAACATATGTTGAAGTCCAGGAATGTTCTGGAATTCTTGAAGCTATACCAGTTGCATCCAGGTTGGTTATTTCTGCACTGAATAGGGTTTATTCTCACACAGAGCTGACGCATAAATCATTAAGATATATACCTTCCCTGTGGGCAATTTGTGAGAGTTTGTAATGAAAGCCAAATTACATCTAGTAAATTCATTTACATATAAAATTTACCATATGAGATGCATTTATAAACATGAGACATTAATTCATTCATTCATTCCCCTAACCAGGTTTTCCTGGCTATTCAAAATAGACATCTCTGTTCTCAAAAGCCATTTGAGGTTTGCTCTTCAAGCTCATGTTTTCCCTTGAACTTGTATCTCACTTGCTTGTCTCTATGTTTTTTGCTTGCTTATTTCCACCCTGGAGAAGTTCTCTCATAAACCCATATTTCTCCTCTTTCCTTTAACATCTTTCTAAGCAAGTTTCATTTCAATAAAAATTATCTTGCTTCACTTTTGAAAAAAATGTAAAGATGTTCCTGTTAGGTATGATTTATTTGGGGGATGTGAAAATGCTCTTACTATTAATTGACATGGAAAAGTTCTTGAAATTTTCTGGACTTCAAAAACAACCTGCAAAATTATGCCACATAGGAATGTTCTACTCTCCAGAGAGTGGGAGAAACTTGCCATTAATTCTTTAATGTTTGCTAAGGGAAATTGGTTAATGAATAAAAGTCTACTTCAGTTTATTCAAAACGTACTTTCATTCAACAAATCTATTGAGCAGAAGCTGTTTTAGGTGCTGGGCACACACCAGGAAACAAGAAAGACCTGGTTCCTGTTCTCATGGCGCTTTTATTCTACTTAGCAAAAACCAAGTCTTTGAACACAGTAATTTCAACTGAAGAAAAGTGCTATGAAAATCAAAGCATCGCAGGGTAAAGAGGCTGCCTGGTGGAGCCCTTAAAGGGAGGACTTTGGTCTTGGAAGACATTGTCAGGAAAGGCCAAGCTCAGGAGTTTCATCTCAATATGGAATTCAACCTTGAGTCTTCTTTAGACAATAAGTAGCAAGTCCATTAATAATTATCGAAAATGTTAAGCCAGGAAGGCAGTGGACCGGATAATCACAGAAGTCTCTCTTCCAAGGCTAACTTGTCAAGGCCTTTGTGAATTCCTGGCCACCTGCGAGAGCGCCTATTATGCTGGCCTAAGTGTCCCCCAGACTTCCGTGGACCTCTACCTTTAGAAGGTCTGTCTCCAACCCACAGAGCCTGGAAATAATGTGCTACAAGACGACCTGCTCTACACAGCAAGCCCAACTGACCTGACATGAGGGGGACTTGAAGCAGAAACTGGTTTCACTCAGCCTCTCCTGGCCTGGGTCCTGGTCTTGTCCATGCCCTCCATCTCTGCAGCCCTGCCCCGCACTGAGCAGCAGCCCCACTGCTCACTGTTCCCAAGGTGGAAGCTGGCCCGGGGAGGAGGAGTCACAGACTGGGCCCAAACTTGGCTCTCTGCCCCATTAAAGGTGCTACCTCAACAACAAAGTACCTTGCCACACTTGGCTTTTCTCATTAGCCAAATGACTTTTAGTGACCTTTCGCAGAAGCATTTAGAGACTTACCAAATAAAGTTATGCTTATTAAGCTCTTTATGCAGTATCTAGAAAATATTAAGGATATAATGCAGACACTCAGCATTAGCTCTTGTGTCTTGGAAACCCCCGCCCTTCCCAGTAATCCTCTGATTTCTACCACCCTCGTGCCACAACCTGTCATTAACCTTGATCCTGAGTCAGGATTTCTTTTCACAGACCCTCATCCAAATTCCCCTTTAGATTCCTCATCAGAACAGTCCTGTCAGTCAGTGTGAACCTCCTTGGCAGGAAGGCAGATGAATCCATGGATCTGCAAGTCATAAAACCTGGATTTCAGGCCTGGGAGATAGCTCAAAGACAGGCATGCAAGATGCACTTACCTACCCTCCAACCTACCCAGCACCCAGCATGAATAAGTGTGACCCAAAATGAAAACAAAAGCAAGGTCTTGGAGCCACACAGAGATAGCACAGCTGGTAGGGTATTCACTTTGCATGTGGCCAATCCAGAAAAACTCCTGGTACCACATATGATCCTCCCAGCACCCCAATAAAGTGATCCAGGAGTGCAGAATTAGGAGTAAACTCTGAGCATGGGTGAGTATGGCCCAAAACCCAAAAAGGCCTGGATTTGAAGAAAATCCAGGCTTTGATATCTGGCCTGTGGAAACTGAGACTGTACAAAGACCCCACATTAACTGTGCCCTACAGTGCCCTCTGCTTGTCACTTAATCCTTAGCCCCACCACAATGTATACACTGAGTTTATCTGCACTGGCACCACAGCCTATTCTCACTGCCAGCCCATCCTGGAGCAGCATGAGGGAAGAAGGTGCTGAGGGGTGCACTCTCTGGTGTCCCCAAGGCCTCTGGTCACTGGTCTACTTGCACTGATAAAGCAGAGTGTGGACTCTACTGCATTTGTCAAACACAAGTGGAAATTCAGCTTTGTGTGGGGTTGGCCTAAGCTGACGATAAGCAGATTAATATACAAAGAAGCAAAGAGCAAATGATTTCTCCTTGTCAGCCAAGCAATTGGACAGAACTTGAAACCAGGAAGAAAAGCAGCTGGAGTGACATTTATAAAACACCTAGTCACATGGTTTCCATTCTGTGGAGCATTCCAAAAGTAAATATTTCTCCCAAATCTCTCATCATCTCCCCCATTCAGTGATTTATTTTCTCCCAAGTCTCAATTATCACCAATCAACCACTGTCTGAAAATATGACGAAAGGTATTGGGAGACAGTGTGTGCAAATTCGTGTAACTTTTATGATGATATATCATGGTTGCTCTGTTTTATTAGTACTTAGTGTTACTAATTTCTTAGTTAATTAATATCTTACCAAAGATAACATTAATCTTTTTTTACAGAAAAACACATGTTACTGAATTTCCCTTCATAATCACCACAGATTTTATGCCAAATGATTTTTGCAAAACAGTAGAATGCGATCATTATGTGAAGCTTTTTAAATTGTCCTGGTATTACCTAAAAGCAGGGTGCAACAATCATGCAGTGAAGTGTGGTACACATAGGGTTGAGTACTCTGAAGCTTTTAATATCCACTAGAGGTCTCAGAACATCTCCTGAAGGATAAGGAGGGGCTACCATATTTTGTATCCTAGAGAGAAGCATTTTTGGAGTGATAATGGAGCACTGGTGATTAACAAGGTGATGAACAAGGAATGGGTGTGAATTTCTTTCTCTTCCTTGAACCATCTGGCCTTGGGCAAGTTGTCTCCTTCTTTGAAGGTAGTCACCTTAATAGTCAGGACTTTGGTGCCACCTCCCATATGTGCTTATGTAGGGACGAGGAGACCATGCAAGGATTACTGAGCACAGGCTTGGTGCATGGTCTCACTGAAAATTGATGCCTTTTCAGTTGCCCCCCACGAGCGGCTCTCCAGCACGGCCACAGCCCCAGAAGCACAAGGACTTAATGCAGAACCCAGCAGCTTGGAGCAGAAAAGTGAAAGGACTATGCGTTAATCCAGGCCATCAAGTCTGCCAGAGGGGAAAGGGTGTTGCCCCATTCGCCCTCTCTTCTCTGGAAAGAAGGATGGCGGCCGCATGGGAGCCTTGTGGACAGCAGGTATGAGCCGGGGGTGTGGGGGCGACTAAAACCTCATGGGAAGGGGGGCGTTCCGGTCCGTCCTTCACGCCCTACCGAGGTCACCAGTTGCCCCCCATGAACGGCTCTCCAGCACGGCCACAGCCCCAGAAGCACAAGGACTTAATGCAGAACCCAGCAGCTTGGAGCAGAAAAGTGAAAGGACTATGCGTTAATCCAGGCCATCATGTCTGCCCGGAGGGGAAAGGGTGTTGGTCCCTTCCGCCCTCCTCCCTCTGGAAAGAAAGGTGGCGGCCACATGGGAGCCTTGTGGACAGCAGGTATGAGCCGGGGGTGTGGGGGCGACTAAAACCTCATGGGAAGGGGGGCGTTCCGGTCCGTCCTTCACGCCCTACCGAGGTCACCAGTTGCCCCCCGCGAGCGGCTCTCCAGCACGGCCACAGCCCCAGAAGCACAGGGACTTAAAGCAGAACCCGGCAGCTTGGAACAGAAAAGTGAAAGGACTATGCGTTAATCCAGGCCATCATGTCTGTCCGGAGGGGAAAGGGTGTTGCCCCAGTCGCCTTCTCCTCTCTGGAAAGAAAGATGGCGGCCGCATGGGAGCCTTGTGGACAGCAGGTATCAGCCGGGGGAGTGGGGGGGCGACTAAAACCTCATGGGAAGGGGGCATTTCGGTCCGCCCTTCACGCCCTACCGAGGCCACCAGTTGCCCCCCACTAGCGGCTCTCCAGCACGGCCACGACTCCAGAGCACAGAAACCAATTTCTTAACTATCTGACTTTCAGTATAAATACTTCCAGGGTCAATAAGTAAAATAGCAGAAATCCAAAACCAACATTTAATTCTTGAACCCAGCTGTAGAAAGCAAATCACGTCACAATGCTTTTTCAGCATGTCTGATTTGGGGGTGGGGGGTAAACTCTAAATTATAGTGGTGAATCTTTTATTGAAACAATGAATCTAATCAAAGCAGATAGAGTGTTAACTAGAATTCATCTGCCCCACAGGGACTGGGAGGGGTGGGGGGTGGGGTTTTATTGGGGTTCTTCATGGTAAAAAATAAGTTTTGGTAAAGGGAAATGTGCTTGATATTTGCATGACTGAGACCTAAACCTGAAAGCTTTGTAACCTTTCCCACGGTGATTCAATAAATAAAAAAAAAACTATAAGGCAGAAAATAGCATAAATGGAGAGACATACTTGTAAGATAACAACTTAGAGACATTCTATCAATGTTTACATTTAAACATTCAACTCCAGTATCTGAAAAGTATATGATTAGTGTTAAAAACATTACATTAAAAATTTTAAAAATTAAAAAAAAAAAAAGAAAATTGATGCCTTTTGCTGTTCAGTAAACACCAGTCTTCTGCCAAGGCTCTTGCTCTGACTCTCTAGTCCAAGACTCGGCCCCAGTGGTGCTCTCTCTCAGGACAATCTCTTTAGCTGCTTCCCTGAGACCTCTTAAAGGGGATTCTTGTGAAGGATGATTTTGGAAATGAGACTTTTTCATATTAATTTCAGAATCCTTTGATAATTCTAAAAGATTAATACAGATGCCCTTCCACTCAAGCCAATCTCATCCTACATATTTGTTCCAAATATCCAAATATTTGTTCACTGATTCATTACCTTGACAAGTATATATAACAATATTTATATTGTTAGATTAATATACAAAGAAGCCACCACTGCCATACAGAATATGGATATAACCACCATTTATTTATTCAACAGTTCATATATCCACCAAACATCAATTATAAACAAATAACTATTTTAGGCATGAGGTAGAAAATACAATTAAAAAATATCCCTGACATACAATGCCTTAATATCTAATCAGTAATTTACTTCTTTAATATAGAAAATATGGATAGAGTTCTGATATGTCCAACACAATGAAGAGCTGTGTGTGTCGGTCAAAGTTAATCTAGTAGACAGTGAAGAACACTGGAAAATTTGTGAACATTAGTATCATAATCAAGATCATTTAATCAAATTCAGCGTTGCATTTGGTGGTTCCTAAAATGGAAAATTAGGAAGGAAGAGACCTGCAGAGGAAAGAAAAAGAGTGACTGTGGCATTATACATGGAGGAAATCTGAATGAATCCTGTCTCTGAAATCTCAAAATCTTACTTCGTAAAGACATGCCTGATAACCTTTCATTATTTGTATTGCAAAGCATATGGCCCAAAAGGAGAGAGAGAAAAAGAGAGAGAAGGAAAATGCCTGATATAGATGCAGGCGGGGGTGGGGGGGTGAGGCAGGAGGGAAACTGGGACTATTGGTGGTGAGAAATGTACACTGGTGAAGAGAGGGGTGTTGGAATGTTATATAACTGAAATGCAATCATGAACAACTTTGTAACTTTGTGAACAACACTTGATTCAATTAAAAAAAATTGAAAACAAAAACTCTTACTAAGAAAAAAAAACCCTTACCTGGAGTCATGTTCTGTGGCAGGAAACATTTTTCCTTCTCTGATGAGGACAAAACCTCATTCTTTATGGTTGAATCCTTGGAAGGGGTTTCTTTACCTGGGAAACCAAAAAAAAAAAAAAAAAGAAAGAAATGAAAGATATTTTTATGATAGTTTATGCCTATTACAACTTTAAGTCAAGCAACCAATTTTCTCAAGAATTAGTGGCATGTGCTCCTGGGAATATATCCCAGAGAGGCAAAAAAGTATAGAGAAGTGACATCTGCACTTGTTTGTTCATTGCAGCACTCTTTACAATAGCCAGAATCTGAAAAAAACCTGAGTGCCCGAGAACAGATGACTGGTTAAAGAAACTTTGGTACATTTACACAATGGAGTACTATGTAGCTGTTAGAAAAGATGAAGTCATGAAATTTACATACAAGTGGTACTACATGGAAAGTATCATGCTAAGCGAAATGAGTCAGAAAAAGAGGAATAGACATAGAAAGATTGCATTTATCTGGGGAACATAAAGTAACAAAATAGGAGACTAACACCCAAGAGTGGCCAAGATTAGTACCAGGAATTTTGCTCCATGGCTTGGAGGCCAGCCACACATGCTAGGGGAAAAGGGAGCTTAGATAGAGAAGGGAACACCAAATAAAGGCTGTTGGGAGGATCCTCCCAGGATGGGAGAAGCATGCTGAAAGTAGACTATAGACCAAACATGATTGCCACTCAATACCTCTTTTGCAAGCCACAACACCCAAAAGGAGAGGGAGAACAAAAGGGAATGCCCTGCCATAGAGGCAGGGTTGGGGGGGGAGGTGGGGGGTGGGAGGAATACTGGGACCCATGGTGGTGGAAAATGGGCATTGGTGGAGGGATGGGTATTTGATCATTGTATAATTGAAACCCAAGCACAAAAATTTGTAAGTCTACAACTGTACCTCACGGCGTTTCACTAATAAAAATTAAAAAATAATAATAAAAAAAAGAATTAGTGGTATGTGAAAATTTGAATTGTTATTATCATTGCTATATAGCTATTTAATATTCGGCTATGATCAAAGAACTGTCAAACATACGATCTCAATCCAAAGACAATGTGCAAATCCAAAGACAATGTCCAAATGGCCTATAAGTTTATAAAAAAAAATTAAGCTTATCAGGAAAATAAAAATTAAAACCTCGGAGCTGGAAAGATAGTACAAAGATTAAAGTGTTTAATTTGCCCATGGTCATCTCTGGTTCAATTCCTGGCACTGTACATGATCAAGCACCACCGGGAGTGATCCCTGAGCACAGAGCCAGGAGTAATCCTGGAGCACCCCAGGTATATCCCAGAAACAAAATAATAAATAAAAATAAGAATCACTGTAGAAACACTACTTACAAACTGGTGAAAATGCAAGATTAAGCAAGGTGTTTGTAAGACTATGTAATAGCTAAAACATACACTGTGAGTTGAGAGTATGCTCTGAAGATTTTCACTTTGGGAAGTTCTCACAATAACACTTCAGTTTGAATACAAGCATGCACTAAGACTTAGTGAATCCATTCCTAGGTGTGCATGTGTTTGTTTACAAACACACACACACACACACACACACACACACATGTTTGAACACCTCTATCTATAACTATAGCTATATAGTCAAAAGAATATATACAGGCATGTACCCGTATACAGTCACTATGTAACTCAGCACAGCACCATTCAAATCCATGAAATCCTGGTGAGAAAGAAAATTGGGTATAGAGGATTGAATTAGCAGAAGTTTTGAGTAAGCCATATGAAAACTTTTTCTTTCAGGCTCTGAAAACCCTGCAGCCCCGGGTCACAATAGCTCTAAGGATCAGGTCCTTCTGATGTAAAAAAAAAAAAAATTAAGTGGAAGAAGAAGGTGCTTCCTAAACAGTGCTCAGGGGGCCTGGGGGCCCATTTCCAGGAATAATCAACCAACTGAATCAGATAGTTCAATGGTCAGTCCAACAGTGGAGCGCAGCTTGGACCCAGAAGCATTCAGAGTCTAGCAGCGCTGCACCCAGCCATGTGGTGCTGAGACAAAGAGGGTCCTTCCTGCAAGACTTACACCCTGATCCCCAAGATGTCTCTTAGCCCCCAAGCAAAACTCTTATGATGAATCTCTCCATCTGCATTCCCTTATACCTAAAATGGTATCTGCCTCAGAGATAAGCATGTCAAATCCAAAAGTCACTTTCAGGCTTAGCCAGAAGGTTAGGAATTCTCGTATATCTGTCAAAGGCGAATATTTGCCTTCAATGTCAGTTTTTCTCCATCCATTGAAAATAGCTTATCTGTAAGTTGGAATTGGAAATTCCAAGTAAGTTGGAATTGGAATTCCATGTAAGTTGGAATTGGGATTTCTTCTAGGAGAGGAGAGGAAGCAGCTAATCAGAACTCTGGTCTCTGTGTCCCTCTCCTCCTCATTCTCTGCTGCTTCCTCTAGGGCATCCTTCAACTCTGAAAAACAAAGTTTTCCTCCTTTCCTCTAAGCAGCAGTGCTCAAGAATAAGCGGTAGAAGATACAGTTAAATGCAATACAGCAAGTAGAATAAATGAATTATGACCAGGGAAACAGCATAGATGGCTACATCAGCCTTTGAAAGTTAGCCAACCAATACACAGATAATTCAATGCACAAATTTATTGATAAATCTGAATAAAAAGGTTAATTTTAAAATATTCCTGGAATCCTTCTCTACCCCAGCTATGTCAGAATATCCTAGGGTAGAGCTTGGAAATGTGCACACTTCTTTAGTCCCCAGCTGGTTTCTGGTGTCTTCTGTGAGGCTCTGGAGTTGAGTGATTCCCACATGCCTTGGGACACAGGAGCCAGAGGGAAGCTTCTTTAGAATGAAGGGATGGGGACACCAGAGTGAGCTCTGCGATCAGGAGAGCAGCTAATAATTGCACAAGCAGTTAGGACTCACAGAACTTATAGTTCCACAGGAAAGACTCTGAAGACTTGAGCTGAACCTTGAAAATGACATACGACTATTTAAAGTCTCCAGAAAGTTCTAATATAAAATTAAGAATGAAAATGTAATCTTTCAATAAAACAAAAAATATTTCCTTTCAAGGAAACAAACCAGAGTTCCACAGTGACTATTGCTGAGTTATTTTCAATCATTTACTTATACTTTCATCTATTATAGCTATATATGTCTCTATATTGCTATACTTTTGTATACTAATATTGCAAGCAAATGTACACAGTGTACACTTTTGTACACTAGTATCATGAAATGAGTACAAGTTTATTTTCTAACATTGGAAATAAAAGTGGCTAGGAGCAAAGTCTCTGTAATCAGACAGGACTGAATATAGCGCTCTGACTTCTTTGTGAGGAAATCTATCCATGAGTTTCAGATGAGACGTCTCTGATCTCAGCCTCTTGAGTAGCCTATGACTCAAGTACAACCCAATCACTTTTTTGATAAACCATGGTCACATGGCCATGCTTAAGCCAATGAGAACTGGTCTTAAATACCCATAACAGCACTCTGAGAGAAGATTCGTTTCCACTGCTGTGATTAGACATCTGGAGCTGTGCGGGCCACCACTGGAGGCCTGTAGTAGAGGCCAATGCAGTGCAGAGTTTCTGAAAGACCTATTCTTGATGGCATCACTTGAATATTTTGATGCAGCCGTATTTGAAGCAAGCAGCCCTTGGACTTTATGAATCAGTGCATTTCTTTTGGTGTAAGTTAGTTTCTATTTTATTATAATGACTGGCAGGAAAGATTACTAAATTTTTAACAATCCAAGATTTATTTTTAAATTGCAAACTTTTCCAAAATGGTTGTGCCACTTTCACTCTCAACTGTGATATTTGAGAGTTCCCGTTATTCCACACCCTCACCAACACTTGCTATTCTCAGGCTTCTCAGTTCTTTGTTTTTGTTTTTGTTTTTGTTTTTTTGGCTTCTGGAGTCGTACCCAGTGATGCATAGGGGTTACTCCTGGCTTTGCACTCAGGAATTATTCCTGGAGGTGCTCAGGGAACCATATGGGATGCTGGGAACTGAACCCAGGTCGGGTACATACAAGGCAAACACCCTACCTGCTGTACTATTGCCCCAACAATAGGGGCTTCTCAGTTTTAACCAGCATGTAGCTGTGCAGTGTAGCCTTATTGTTTTAATTTTTATTTCCCTAATAATTGATGATAGTGAGCATTTTCCATATGTAAATAAGGTCATCTTTTCTGGCCTACCTATCAAATATAAACACTCTCCCCATTTTGACTGTGTTGTTTACCTTCTCAGTACAGGAGGCTTTTCTGGATTCAGTATCAGATATGCCTATTGCCGTATCTGTGACTTCCTTTTTATTTTTTTGTTAGATTACATACGTCAGGGAAAAGCTGAAGCCCTCAAGTTAGGCTGGATGAGAGAAGGGCACAGGAGGAGAGGGCAGACTGTGCGTTTCAGAGAAGGGAAACTTATGGGGCTACAAGTGAGAAAGAGGATGGGGTGGGACAGGATGAACTTTACTAGACAGGCAGAAGAGTGTAGAACAGATCCAGCAGCAGGGAGTCCTGGAACTGTATTGAGCAGAGAAGCAGCATAATAGACATGGAAGTTGTGCAGGAGAAATACAGAAAAGACAGAAACTGATAGCAAGAACAAGAGCACCGGATCACTGCTCAGACCACCTGGAACTCAGAGCCCCACCCTTAGCCCCCAAGAAATACCCGGAATAATGAAAAACATTAAGGTATTTAACTGCATCAGAAAAGTTCTCAGGCACATCATAATTCTACTGTTGCCTGAGCATCACTTCAGAGCAACAATTCTTTCAATATTCACTGAACTGAAGAAATCACTGGAGTGAAATTCCTAAACTCAAAGAAAGAATGATAGAAACAATAAAATAACTTATTCCAAAAGAATTGAAGAAACTAAAGGATAGTAACAGGACCCAGCAGCAGAATAGAAGCCAAGGATCAAATTGGTGACCTGATTTGATTTTTGGTTTGTTTTTGTTTTTGTTTTTGTTTTTAGTCACACCCAGAACAGGGCTTACTCCTGGCACACAGATTATGAATAAATAAAATGTAATTGGGAAGATTTTGTAATAAAAAT